GGGGACTAAGGAGACTAAGATGACGAAGTGGACTAACTAAGAGGACTAAGGGGGCTAAGATGGCTAAGCGGACTAACTAAGGGGACTAAGGGGATGCTGCAAGCATCCCCTATGATGCTACAAGCATATCCTAGCACACTACAGGTTTTGGTTCAGATGCTGCAGACATTATCTGAGATGCTACAAGAAGGATGGGAGAAGTTTGAGCTAATGTGCAGCACTGAGTAGGAATAATGGTGTACACAGAGACGTGCATGGGTCGCGGCTCTTCGGGGGGCGCTTCGCGCCCCCACGCCGCGACGCTGAAATAAAATATGTGTTAGGCGGGGAAACGCGCTTCCCCACTGAATTTAGTCCCCTTAGTCCCCTTAGTTCCCTTAGTCCCCTTAGTCCCCTTAGTCCCCTTAGTCCTCTTAGTCTCCTTAGCCCCCTTAGTCCTCTTAGTCCCCTTAGTCCCCTTAGTCCCCTTCGTCCCCTTAGTCCCCTTAGTTAGTCCGCTTAGTCCCCTATTTCAATTTGAAATCAAGTGCTCTTTTTTCTGTTTAAATTCAGATTGAAATTAAATAACCCATTGTATGCCACACCCACACCCACACCCAAATTTATGACCTATCTGTAGGTCGCGTGTATCATATTGTTTCTTGATCGTTACAAGGTAATTAATGTAGTTACGATTTACAAGTACTTAAGTATTATAGCTATTTTACTCAGCTACTTCAATAAAAGCTGTTAGCGCAAACCCTTCTGGGATAGAAATGTGATACATGAGATACCCAGTAAAAATGATGAAACAGATATTTGCATATATAATTGATATTATTGTTGGTTTATTAACAAATGCGAGTCAATTTGTGGAAATGAGATATAAAACAATTGGTAAAGTTTTCGATTCTCAACGATCATAAATTATATACTAACTTTTTAGCAATTCTTCTGTTACGTTTTGGTAGATTAGGGTGATGGAACTTTATGATATCTATACTGAGTAGATGCTGAAGCCAGCAAAATCTGATTGCGTGAAGAGTGGTGCAGATTTTTATTAAGTTTATTCTATTTCCATTATTGTACTTTATTAGCAGTGGTCAGATTTCCGGAAAAAGAAATTTCAGGAAATACGGAAAATTCCAAACATAATTTTGACATATATCCCGAATAATCCGATGCACAGTTGTAAAGCGCGTACCTCCTCAGAAAATAATTTACAGAAACTACATGTAAATTTCGGTAATTACTACGAAATTACCAAAATTTCTAAATGATTCTATTTTATAGTACACCCGTGGGCAAAAGTCTTTCCCCCCTCCCACTTTTTTTTTTCATTACATATTTAGTATTGAGTTTTTAGTCAATCGAAAGAACGAAATCAGGAGTTTATTTTGCATGGGGTACAATTGATCGTCATTCGGTTTATTCAAGGTTGCTACATGAGTATTATAATGGTAGCAACTGTCACAGTTATCTATGAAGTTTTATTTGTGCATCGCATTTTAAGAATATTTTTAATATTTTTCGCGGTTTCATCCTTTATTATTGACTTAATATTTTCAATCGGACTGAGGGGAACATATCCGTGATTATTCAAGATTGTTTCGTCAATAATGGAAATAAAACGCAACGAACATTAAAAAATATTCTCAAAATGCGATGTGCAAATAAACCTTCGCAGAAGACTGTGACAGTTGCTACCATTATAATACTCATGTAGCAATCTCGAATAAACCGAATGACGATCAGTTCTACTCCATGCAAAATAAACTCCTGATTTCACTCTTTCGATTGACTAAAAACTCAATACTAAATACGTAATGAAGAAAAAAAAAGGGGGGGGGGGAGAAGACTTTTGCCCACGGGTGTAAATAGATGTAACTACATAATACTCATATTTCTAAGACCTATAACCCCAGATACATGAGAATTTTCAGGAATTTCGGAAATTACAAGGAAATTTCGGTAAGGAATAGGAATTAGCTAAATTTCTACATGACTGTAATTCATAGTAACTATATAGTTATAGCCATCTTATATTTGTATTGCAAAGACTCCTACCCCTCTGATATACGTGAATTTTTCGTAATTTCGGAAATTAACGACAACTCACTTTTTTGGGTGGTAGAAGTCTTTGAAATACAAGTATAAGATTGTTATATATGTACTATCAATTAGAATCATGTAGAAATGTGATTAGTTTCATAGTAATTACGAGAATTTCCTGCCAATTTCCGAAATGACCGAAAATTCTCATACATGGAGGGTAGGGTTCTAGAAATATAAGTATAAGATGGTTATATCTATATACTATGAATTAGAATCATGTAGAAATTTAGACAATTTCCCAGTATGTACCGAAATTTCTTGGTATTTTCCGAAATTACCGAAAATTCTTTTGTATATGGGTTAGTAGTGATGCAAGTTACAATGAAATAGTTTACGATTGATTTGAAAATGACATTAGAAATCTTCGGAAATTTTCTTTTTCAGAAATCTGGACATATCTCTCGATAAAATAGAATCGAAACTTTGTAGAATGTATGTGTTGCAGCTGAGTTTGGAATCTAGTTGAGATTGGAATCGTTTAGATTATTTTGTTTGTTTATGGATTTCGTTAGCACGCACACAACAGAATTTGTTTGTTTCTTATGAAGTTTATGTTTATTGTTATTTCTTGAATAATGACAATAGATGCATATTTTATTTGGTTGATAAACAGTTATCGCAGCTTTTATTTATTGTTTTCTTGTGTGACTATATAGATTAGTCATCGTATTGATTTCAGTGAAGTTTTAAAATGTAATAATGCTGGAAAATGATTTGCTATAATACCATTTCTCGCTGAATTCGTATGAAATATAGTTGAATGTTTTTTTCTGATGCTGGGGACATGGGGACATTGAATGATTGGTTGAAACGGAATCTAGAGCAAATTAGTCATCTGTATTATTCTATATTTGAAATTTTTTTGAGCAGTGGGACATGGGGACATAGAGCGATTGGTCAAATCGAAATTTAGAATAGCTGAGTGGTTATTCTATTATACTATCTAGTTTTTGAAACGCTCGGGACGTCGGGACATAGAGCGATTGGTCGAAACGAATTTTAGAATTGCTGTGTCATTATTTTATCATACTATCGGTGAGCGGACAACTGATCACAGGAAATTGATCATGGGACAACTGATCACGGACAATTGGTCATGGATAATTGATCATGACAGACAACTGATCATGGCGGACGACTGATCATGAATAACTGATCATAAAGGAAAATTGATCATGAAGGGTCATGAGATTATTGTTATCGTTTAGGGTGAGTGTGTGGATATGGGTGTGTGGTTGGTTGTGGGTGGTGTGGGTGTGGGAGTAGGTGTAGGTGTGGGTGTGGATGTGGGTGGGTGTGGGTGTGGGTGTGGGTGTGGGTGTAGGTGTAAGTGTAGATGTGGGTGTGGGTGTGAATTTATTTCTTATTTTTAAAACCCACACCCGCACCCGCACCCACACCCCACCCACACCCGCACCCCACACTCACACCCACCACACACCCACACTCACACACACACACCCCACACCCACTCCCACTCCCACCCACACCAACACTCACCCACACCCTCTCTCTGTTCGTTTTTGTTTGGAACCAAATGACAATTATCAATTATCGAACGATTTTTTATGATCAACTGTTCAAGATTAGTTATCCCTTATGATCAGTTGTCCCTTATGATCAGTTGTCTATGATCAGTTGTCGTCATGATCAGTTTTTCCATGATCACATGATCATGATCAGTTGTCCGTGATAAGTTATCCCATGATCAGTTGTCCTAGACCCCATACTATCAATTTTTTGAAATGCTCGGGACGTCGGGACATAGAGCGATTGGTTGAAACGAATTTTAGAATTGTTGAGTCATTATTTTATTAAACTATCAATTTTTGGAAACGTTCGGGACGGCGGGACATAGAGCGATTGGCTGAAACGAATTTTAGAGTTGTTGAGTCATTATTTTATTATACTATCAATTTTTGGAAATGCTCGGGACGTCGGGACATACAGCGATTGGTTGAAACGAATTTTAGGATTGCTGAGTCATTAAATAAAAAAAGTCAACATTAATTATCTTATGACTCATGCTATATTGTTAGCTTGTTTATTGATTCCAAAGCCAACTGAATTCTCAAGTCAATTGTGACATATGCAAAACACTTGCACATTATTTTAATGAGTAAACAACGATCGAATACGCAAGTACAACCAATAGTTTCTTTTATATTTCACGACTCTGAAATTTTCCGTAACGGTTATATAATCGCTCGTTTCATATTTTATCATAATTTCAGTATCATTTAATTATCATTCGGGCGTTGTTGATGGATCGACCTAAGCAATGCAAATTAGTTCGCAATATTCCTGTGCGACGGTTGCCAGAAAATCGATCCGGTATTACTCTAGTTTGTCTTGAAAGTTCAGCGTATCCGTTATCGAATGACAACCAGATACGACTACAAAGTTTTAGTGATAGATGTTTTATTATTCATTATTCAAATATATCGAAATACATAAAATACTTGAAAAGAGCTAAATCACGGGAATATGTTATTGCTATTGTTATGTCTCACTCAATAGAAACATTTCAACGAATTATTCATCAACTTCAACCACATCGTGTTATTCAAACATTGATCGTTCTTTATTCAAATACAGACATATACAATCATCTGCCATTTATCGCTAACAATGTTCATGTTATTGGAACTCAAGAATGCATGTTTGACATATTAGAGAAACGAATCAAAGAAGTTGAGGAGCAAAATCTGAGTGGCGGTTTATTTACTACTTTCGGTCGAATAGAAAAATCTATGAAAGAAGTTAGAGAAGATATGGCAGCCTTTGTTTGGACGCATGTATTCAAAGGTTAGCTTTTCAAAAAATGTTCATAAAAATTCATATGTATGATACATTTAGTTATACTAATGAGCATGCCTCGTGACTCTCTGAAGGCTAGACTTCAAATGATAAGTGAATGCCGAGCATATTATCGCAATGATCCTATACAATCAGCTCAAATCAATGAATTTGAACGTAATTATGAATTAAAAGATGCCATCCGTTGGTATACGAAACCAGGATTTTTATTTTATCTCGTTAATAAAGCTTTGCGTAGTCAGGATATGTGGGCTCTGTATAAATTTCGCTATTATATTATGGATTTGTCTTACTTTCTGGAACAAATCTCCACTTCACAATCTTTGCCGCCTATTCGTCTTTATCGGGGAGCAAAACTTAATCGAATCGAATTGGAACAGCTCCAAGTTGGTTGTCTTGTATCAACTAACGGATTCTTTTCATGCTCGACTGATCGCCGTGTAGCAGAAATGTTCCTTGGTATTGATCCTAATACTGATAGTTCATCAAATTACAAACGAGATGCTAGTCAACAATCTGTGCTGTTTATCATCGATGTGGATTGCACAGTATCTGAAAAAAATGTAGTAGCAGATATTAGTCGTTACAGTGACATACCCGATGAAAACGAAATGATTTTTAACTTTGGATCGACTTTCATTATCAATGAAATACGTTTAGACACCGATAAATGTATATGGTGCATCCAGATGAGTTCGTCCTCTGATGCTGCTCAAATTAATGAAGGATATGAGAAGTATATTCATACACGTCTTCAACACATCAATCCAATAATCATGCTCGGTCATGTTCTAGCCAATATAGGAGGCGATTTGGGTCATTGGATGAACTATTTTAATCGTTTATTGAGAATTTTGCCCATCGATCATGCTGAGCGACCCAATGTTTTTTATGTTCTAGGTAACATATTTCGATTTATTGAGAAATTTCAGAAATCTCTTCACTGTTATCGATGTGCTCGATTACTGGTCCGTCGTATGTTACCTGAGAGAATGTTTGACTATATTCGCATTATTGGTGGAATGGGTAATATCTACTCTTATTTGGGAGATTCTAAACAAGGATTAAAGTTGCTTGAACAAGCTCTAGAGCTTCAGAAGAAATCATTTCCAGATAATCATACAGAAATTCCATTTCATTTGAATCTGATGGGTCATGCTTATTTCAGAGCTACGCAATATGACCGTGCACTCTTAACTCTCGAGAAAGCGAAAAAATTCTTTGAGGAAAAAATACCTATTGAGCTTCAAGGATATGCTCATACATTACATTTAATGGGTTTAGTATATCGTGCTCTTGGATCTGACGACGAAGCCTTGATCGCTTTTCAAGCGGCATTACGTAGAAGATATTCACTACTTGGTAAAGATCATCCTCATCTTGCTTCGACTTATTATCAAATCAGTCTACTACACTACGATCGTGGTCAATATGAAGAAGCATTTAATTATGTACAAGAAGCTTTGAATATACAATTGATCAAATTACCACACTGCCATTCGGAGTCAAAATTGTCGAAAGAACTTCTAATGTGCATTCGACAACACATGTAGGCATTTCTAGCAAGCTTTTGTGCTTTTTTGCGATTTCAGTTCATACTTGTTTGTCAGCGAAAATAAACTTCGTGATATCCTTAATCATGGCCTTCAATTTAATTGAATCTTCATCAAACACAAAATACTGACCAGTCT